ACATGTAACATATCCTCAGATAGCTCAGGTCTGAGTGCACATTATTAGGTGAATGGCACTCAGACTACACGAATACAGTTCAATCGCCATGGAGCCAAAGTCTTTACAGTCAGTTTCATACGAATGGGCTCCATGGGATTCCTATCTGGGGTATAACACATTCAAACAAATCTACTGAACCCCAGGCAGAAAAGCATGAATACAGCTTTTCTGCAGGCAAAAATAAAGTCTTTTAAAAGGGGGCCATAGTCCAAAGGCAGCAGGCGAGCAACCAGGCTTCTCCAATGCAATGTGGCGAGATTGGTCTCGTCACAGGAACAGTCTCTATTCTGCTCTGTGTCAGTGTGTATCAGGGATCCCTAGGACAGGTGTCAATCCATATCTGCCAAGTGACTCGATGTAGGGGGAACAGTCTCTATTCTGCTCTGTGTCAGTGTGTATCATGGTCTCTGAGGACAGGTGTCAATCCATATCTGCAAAGTGACCCTATGTAGGGGGAACAGTCTCCATTCTGCTCTGTGTCAGTGTGTATCATGGTCTCTGGGGACAGGTGTCAATCCATATCTGCCAAGTGACCCTATGTAGGAGGAACAGTCCCTATTCTGCTTTGTGTCAGTGTGTATCAGGGATACTTAGGACAGGTGTCAATCCATATCTGCCAAGTGACCCTATGTAGGGGGAACAGTCTCTATTCTGCTCTGTGTCAGTGTGTATCAGGGATCCCTAGGACACATCCATATCTGCCAAGTGACCCGATGTAGGGGGAACAGTCTCTATTCTGCTCTGTGTCAGTGTGTATCAGGGATCCCTAGGACACATCCATATCTGCCAAGTGACCCGATGTAGGGGGAACAGTCTCTATTCTGCTCTGTGTCAGTGTGTATCAGGGGCTTTGAGACAGGTGTCAATCCATATCTGCCAAGTGACCCTATGTAGGGGGAACAGTCTCTATTCTGCTCTGTGTCAGTGTGTATCATGGTCTCTGAGGACAGGTGTCAATCCATATCTGCCAAGTGACCCTATGTAGGAGGAACAGTCCCTATTCTGCTCTGTGTCAGTGTTTATCAGGGATCCTTAGGACAGGTGTCAATCCATATCTGCCAAGTGACCCTATGTAGGGGGAACAGTCTCTATTCTGCTCTGTGTCAGTGTGTATCATGGTCTCTGAGGACAGGTGTCAATCCATATCTGCCAAGTGATCCTATGTAGGGGGAACAGTCTCTATTCTGCTCTGTGTCAGTGTGTATCAGGGATCCTAGGACAGGTTTGAATCCATATCTGCCAAGTGACCCGATGTAGGGGGAACAGTCTCTATTCTGCTCTCTGTCAGTGTGTATCATGGTCTCTGAGGACAGGTGTCAATCCATATCTGCCAAGTGACCCTATGTAGGGGGAACAGTCTCTATTCTGCTCTGTGTCAGTGTGTATCAGGGGCTTTGAGGACAGGTGTCAATCCATATCTGCAAAGTGACCCTATGTAGGGGGAATAGTCTCCATTCTTCTCTGTGTCAGTGTGTATCGGGGGCTTTGATGACAGGTGTCAATCCATATCTGCAAAGTGACCCTATGTAGGGGGAACATTCTCTATTCTGCTCTGTGTCAGTGTGTATCATGGTCTCTGAGGACAGGTGTCAATCCATATCTGCCAAGTGTCCCTATGTAGGGGGAACAGTCCCTATTCTGCTCTGTGTCAGTGTGCATCAGAGGCTCTGAGGACAGTTGTCAATCCATATGTCAAGGTGTCAATATGTCATATGTCAGGTGTCAATCCACATTCATTGTGATTTAGGAATGTTAGGTGATTTCTGCCCTTTATGGATTAAGACTCTGTATCAACTGTGTAATTTTCCATGGGAGTTTTGCCATGGATCCCCCTCCGGCATGCCACAGTCCAGGTGTTAGTCCCCTTGAAACAACTTTTCCATCCCTATTGTGGCCAGAAAGAGTCCCTGTGTGTTTTAAAATTCGCCTGCCCATTGAAGTCTATGGCGGTTCGCCCGGTTCGCCGGTTCGCGAACATTTGCGGAAGTTCGTGTTCGCCGTTCGTGAACCGAAAATTTCGTGTTCGCGACATCACTATTCTTGGGTAGATCTTCGGCAGCAATCTCATCTAGCATAGTGTCAGATAGTCCCTTTTTAAATTGTAAACCGTACAAACAGAACAAGCCTGCACATACTCCTTAACATCCTTCCTGAGAAAATCCCACCAGAAAGACTTTATGATAGCAGAAGTGGATTTATTAGTACCTGGGTGACCAGCAAACACATTGTCGTGAAACACTTTCATGATATTAACCCTTTCCCCCAATGGAACAAACAATTTGTCTGAGACTGATCCTCCATGATGGAGGCAAGCAGTGGAGAGGACAATGATATGGGATGGTTATTGCTCTAATATAGCCTCAGTATCAAACTGCCTGGACAAGGTGTCGGCCATGACATTTTTAGAATCAGGTCTATAAGTGATGAAAATTAAAGCGAGAAAGAAATAGAGACCACCTCGCTTGTCTAGGAGATAATCGCTTGGCATCTCCTATGTAAGCCAGGATTTTGTGATCAGTAATGATCAAAAGGGGGTCCTTGCAATCCTCTCAAACATGTCGACACTCCTTGAGAGCTAGGATAATGGCCAACAATTCTCTATTGCCAATATCATAATTGCGCTCAGCAGGAAACAACTTTCTAGAAAAGTAACCACAAGAGTGTAGCAGAGTTTCCTGGCTCTCCCTTTGGAAGAGAACTGCCCCTACTTCTGTCTCTGAAGCATCAACCTCAAGTATGAAAGGCTTACTGGTGTCAGGATGTATCAATATGTCGGAGGAGGCAAACCGCTGTTTGAGAGTTTCAAAGGCTTCAATAGCCTCCTTAGACCATTTCGTACTACTAACCCCCTTGCGGGTCATATTGGTGATGGGGGCTATTACTGAAAAAAATCGATTTATATATCTTCTGTAATAATTGGCGAAACCAATAAACATTTGAATGGCTTTCAACCCAGTGGGTAAAGGCCACTGTAGAACAGACTTTAGCTTATTGGGATCCATCTGAAACCCCGAGGCAGAAATATTATATCCTAAAAACTGTACTTGTGGTCAAAGATACATTTTTCCAATTTACAATAAAGTTGTTTTTTTTAACAAAGTTTGCAGAACTTGTTTAATGTGATCGTGGTGAGACTGGAGGTCAGGAGGTCAGGAGAATAAATAAGGATATCATCCAGATATACCAAGACAAACAAGTACATGTAATCCCTGAGTACATTATTAATGAAATCTTGGAAAACCGCTAGAGCGTTTCACAACCCGAATGGCATCACTAGATATTCATAGTGTCCACTTCTGGTATTAAATGCAGTCTTCCACTCGTGGTTTTCCTTGATTCTCACTAAATTGTACGCACTTCTAAGGTCAAGCTTAGTAAACACTTTAGCACCCTGGAGTCTGTCAAATAATTCAGCAATAAGAGGAATGTGGTAGGCGTTCTTGATGGTGACTGTAAAGGTTTTCCCTGTATTTACCTGTACCCATTCGGTTATTTCCTCTCCCTGCTAGTTAAGTGACTTTAAAGTATTTGTTTGTATTTCTGTGTTCGGGACATTTATTCATTCTACTGAACGGAGACCACCCATTTCATTTCTTTTCTTCTCTGTTTGAATATCTATCCATATAGTTATGTACTTTCTACCCCTCCTTTACTCCCTATTTTCAAAGCCACTATGTTTAATTAATGTAGCACCTTGTCCTTTTCTGACTTGTTATCTTATCGGCATATGTATTACACCGTGTACGCTGTGTTCACTATGTGCATATTCACGCATGCGCACTGATTGATACCCTGGCAACGGGTTTATTGCTGTGCGCATGTGGTCTTTTGACATGCGCAGTCCTAGTTGATATCTAGCCTGACACTAAGTCGGCGCGCCTGCGCGTAGACAGATGCGCACGGATTTGCTATACGAGTGGCTTTTCTTCGTCCCTCCTCCCCTGAGATACATGGACGAATCAGATGAATTGGGAGGTATTTCCAAACGTTTATAATGGAGTAAGGGGGGTTTGCTCCGTTTGCTTCACTTCACTTTGTGCCCTTGAGAAAGGTGGTTTATCCACCGAAACGCGCGTTGGGCTATGGGCTATTTTATGTAGCTGATCGAGTTTATTTTGGGCTATGGGCTATTTTATGTAGCTGATCGAGTTTATTTTATTTTGTTTCTTTGTTCCCTACAGTATGGTTTAGTGACACTGAGCGTTTTTGTTGCTCTGGTCATTCTACTCAGTGATAGGTGGGCTGTCTATTATATTTAGGCATTTAGACCTAGTTTCTTGTATTTAGATATACTATTAGGTCTCTCTGCTTTATTTTTCTTCTTCTATTTATGCCCTTCTCTATCCTTTCGATTTCCATTTAAACTTAACCCTGTAGGTTCAGCAGCAGAGTTTTTTTGGCTACTACTGTGGCTTTATACTGTGATTTATTGTTACATTATACTATTTTTTTCCATATTTCGATATGGTTTATTTAGCCACACTCTGCAGCAATTAGTTATTTAGTGCAGAATTTATGGCTCTTTATATATGCATTACTACCGTTACCTTTCACTCCTTTGCACAGGTACTTTTTATAGTACTGCATCTATAATTTAGCCATATTTTACATTCTGTATTGGGCTTGCAATATATAACTTACGGTTTTTTTTTTGTATCTATATATGTACTATACGTTATCTATAGGTATCTACTATACCACAGTATATATACATATTTATACATCAGTCATACTTTCCGTATATATTGGGCTCTAGTTATTTATTTTATCTAGAAATAGATGTGTTTCCCTTTTTGATTTTAACAAGGTTTTTCAATAAATTTGTTTATTATTTTTGAGACGTCGCTTTTGAGGTGGCCTGGAGGTGATCAGCCCGATCTTCCTACGAGGCGATCAATCCTCCACTTTTGCTATTTTCCCTGTATTTACCTGTACCCATTCGGTTATTTCCTCTCCCTGCTAGTTAAGTGACTTTAAAGTATTTGTTTGTATTTCTGTGTTCGGGACATTTATTCATTCTACTGAACGGAGACCACCCTGGGTAGCAATCAGAACTTAGGACACCAAGTAACCACGAAAACCGAAAGGTAATTGAGTGCTTCTAGGTGGCCGCCATTCGGCATATGAACACGTGGCGAGAACAAAGGATGGCGGCCATCTTAAATCTCCTGAATGCGGCCAGCGGGACTTACTCGTGGATTGCATGAAACCATTTTCGGCATGGCAATCACACGAGCACCCGTTCTCCATGGAAGTCTGTCTAACCTATTTCCACTCACAGTATCAGACTGGCATTTGGGAGTTTCAATCAACCGAATGAGGGGAGAATTCACCTGTAACCAGATACCGTTTAACTGTGGTGGTTTTCGTGTAATTCTGCACGAACGGAGACCAGCTCTTGCTACCAATTTCATGGAATTCTAACTCGGATACAACCACATGGCGAGCCGGTCAAACTTCCACACGATGCAACACGAAAACTACCCGATTTTCGTGCAATTTGGAAATGTTACTCCCAGTATCCTCAGCTACCTAGGGATGCGGTTTTTGTATTCCTATGACATGTATAAAGTATATTTCTAAAAATCTGGAAAATTGTTAATGTTTCTGGCCAGCAGATAATTGAGTTTAGTATGTTGCTGAAACATAATTAGCTAGCCTGGCCCAGAAGATGAGTCTGTTACTGTATAAATTGAATGCCTGTTGCTTCCAGTAAATCAGACTTGTTCCAGCATTAAGCTTTGGCTCATGTGTGGATTATTTGGCGATACCAGCGTTATTTTACCCTGTGGATTATTGTTGCTATTCTGCTATTGGGAAAAAGGGAATTCTAGACGGTAATACAAATCACTACTGTCACAGTGATTTTGTTCAATGCTCTGTAATCGATACGGGGCACAACTCACCATCCTTTTCGATTAAAAAAAAAATCCTGCACCAGGAGGCGAGGATGATTTTCGTATGTGGCCTTTATTTAATGGATCCTTAATACACTGCTCAATAAAATAAAGGGAACACTTAAACAACACAATGTAACTCCATGTCAATCACACTTCTGTGAAATCAATCTGTCCACTTAGGAAGCAACACTGAGTGACAATCAATTTCAC